AGCTTGCTCGAGCCAAGGAGCAGGCCAGAAGGAGCGATGCGGCTGCCTCGAAGGCAGCTGAAGAGCTAGAAGCCGAAAGGGCTGCTCACTGCCGAAGCAGGGAGGAGATGGCCGGAATGGCCATGAAGTTGAAGGATGTTACCGACCGCTATGAGGTTCTTGAAAAAGAACACCGAGCGGAGCAAGAAGACCTGAAGAAGGCCACCGCCGAAGCCAAGGATGCCCATTCTGCAATGAGGGCTATAAAGGAGGAGTTGCGTCAGGCCGGAGACATTGCGGCTGGCAAGCCCTTTCTGCTGCGCAGGAAGTTCACAGATCAGAAGTATGCTCAGCTTGGCCAGTTGTGGGGTCCGGAGGATCCTTTTCTTGATTTGGCGGCGAGTGCGGCGGATGCGGTTGTGCACTTTCGAAGTCAAAAGGATCACGAGACGGAAGAGCTTTTTTGGTCTCAATTCCACAGTCCGGAGCGTTCACTTCCGTTGACCGATCGGTTGGCTGAGTAGGTTGAGCTGAATAGGTTGTCCGGATTGGCCATGACGGATGTAGTGGCTCATCTGTGGCCGGATAGGCCCAAGCCGAAGAGTTATTTTGGCTTATTGCAGCAATTCCTTGGGGCGGTGCCGCATATCAAGGCGATGAAGCAGTCAACATGCATAGAGGGTGCACGGATGGCCCTCGCCCGTGTGAAGACATACTGGACGGAGATGGATGCCACCGCTGTTGTAACCCGGGGTTCGGACGAGAGCCGGTTACCCGCCGAGCACTATTTTGGGGAAGTCCTGCAGGGTGCTCGTGTAATAGAGTCGCAGTGCTCAAAAAATGTCATGTTCAAATGATCTTTATGAATTGTAAAACGATATTCATAATATAAGTGCTTTTTATACTTGTGCGTTCAAGTATTGGAATATCTCCTATGCGGCCGTTAATGTATACTTGTGTATAACCTGAAAGATGGCAGTCTTCGGCTTCAGCCCCCACGCACATGGTGCGGGGGTGTTTGCAAAATAGCGCATTTTCACACTTAATCCAATGTCTTGGTCCTGTGAAGGAGGTGGTAGCGTAGCAAACGAGGCAACCGGACTATAATGCTTTATCTCTTTCACTTAGCCATAGGATTTCGAAGGTGGGGCTACGACATAGCCCCTAGGTGCACCGCACTCTCCGAATTCGGGGCGCGTATGTGCCTGACCGGGAAACGGTCCTTCGTCAAAGCGGAGGAATTCTAGACATTCCGGAAGTCGATCGAGTGGTTGACCAGTCTCTCGCTGTATCATGACAGTCAGTTTTCGGCTTTCTCTACTGAGGTGCTCGCCCGGCCGAACCGGGGCACAATCGCAGTAGTTCTCCTGGTGCCGCGTTAGCCGATGATACGGAACGTAAGGTAGCAAAACACAAGAGCCGGGCAAACCCAACATTTGACCAAAGACATGATTCGGAGCTGATGCATATAAGGCCTAACTCGAGACGCCGAACACTCCCTAAGATATTCGGTCTTTATGACAACGGGCAGAACAACGCCCTAAGCCCCTAGTGTCCAGGTACGGGCTAAAATTTCTGGCGGCCGATGCCAAAACGCCAGCCTCCTCATCGGTTATGGTGAAAACCAGGGGATGTGACTCAACAAGAGACAGTAAGAAAGGTTTACGCAGGGTCTTAATCTGAAAAGAATCCTTGCGACGGGTCCCTGCTGCACGTCTGCGCCTGTGTCTCCATTGTGCCGTATCCTGGATGGGTGTTGCACGCTGTTCATCTGTAAAAGAGAGGAACTTAGTTTGAAAAGAAATCATGCAAAAATGTATTTAAAACAGAATATGAATAAATTAATAAAGTTGAGCTTTTATTGGCTCTTATTGTTCATACGCACAGCCCCTTGTGAAGGGGTATGCGGCTAGGAAGCCCCTAGTTTATTTATGCCGGACTCGCCTAGCCGTGTCCGGGGTCTTGAGTGACCTTGAGGCACATGATGTCGTGCTAAAGGCACTCCATTCTAGCGCAATTGGGGGGCACTCTGGCATGGAAGCCACCTACCACCGCGTTGCTGCCTTGCTCATCTGGCCGGGAATGAAGAGCTATATTCAGAAATATGTGCAATCCTGTGTTGTCTGTCAGCAAGCAAAAGGAGAGCATGTCAAGTACCCAGGGAAGCTACAACCTCTCCCAGTTCCACCTGAAGCTTGGCATACCATCAGTATGGATTTCATCGAGAAACTACCCCTATCTCATGGGTTTGACACGATCCTTGTAGTGGTGGACAAATTTTCCAAATATGCCCATTTCATCGCACTCAGTGGCCCAAGTGTTCATCAACAATGCGTACAAGCTGCATGGGATGCCACAGACCATTGTGTCCGATAGAGACAAGGTTTTTACTAGCAGACAATGGCAGAATCTGTTCAAAATGGCAGATGCAACCTTGAATCTCAGCTCGGCGTACCATCCATAAACGGATGGACAAACGGAGAGGGTCAACCAGTGTTTGGAGACGTTCTTGCGATGCTTTGTGCATGCAAACCCAAAGAAATGGTCGCAATGGTTGTCTCAAGCAGAATTCTGGTATAACACCTCCTTCCATTCGGCGGTTGGCCGCACTCCTTTTGAGATCATGTATGGACAGCGACCCAAGCACTTTGGCATACAACCTACAGAGGGATTGACACCAGTGGATTTACAACAATGGTTGGCAGAACGCTCCACAATGCAGCAGCTCATCCAACAACACTTGCACAGAGCACAACAGAGAATGAAGAAGTTTGCAGACCGCAAGCGGTCGAAACGAGTGTTTGAGGTGGGGGGACAAGGTGTATCTACGATTACAACCACACATCCAAACTTCGGTGGCTCCAAGATCGTCTCACAAACTCTGTTTTCGTTTCTTTGGACCATTTGAAGTGCTTCAACGCGTGGGAGCAGTGGCCTACAGACTCAAGCTGCCGGCTGGAAGCCAAGTACACCCAGTTTTTCACGTGTCCCAACTGAAAAAAGCAGTGGCGCCTACAACACCGGTGAGTACTGACCTTTCTGTTCTGCTCATTGCTGATGACAAGCGACAACCTGAGCAGATTTTGGAGGCGAGGCTGGTGCGGCAAGGCAAGAAGCTGCTTCCGCAAGTCAAGACTCTTTGGACTGGACTGCCAGAAATCTTTGCTACCTAGGAACAACTTCATGCTCTTCATCGAAGGTACGCGGAAGCACCAGCATGGGGACATGCTGCGTCTCGGGGAGGGAGCATTGTCACGGCCTTCCTAAAGACTGAGGCACAACGACTGAAGAAGAGAGCAGAGAAGAGAGCAGGCTGACTCATGCACTCGAGGCCGCCACAGGGGAGGCTGGCCCATGACGCCCAGCAGCGAGTCCAACCCGCTTAGGAAGTCACCGCTACAAGTAGTCAGAGCGTGCGTGGCTGCAGGGGTATGGAATGTAAAATGCCAGATTGGCTGTATTTCTCCTACCTTCCTTCTTCCCCTTCCCCAAGTTTTCTCTCGATCTGATCCAGACTTCGGCGTGACGCCGGGAACCCTTGTATCCCCGTGATTCTCTCGAATTCAAGCAATAGATCGATCCCGAGGGTAACAATGATCAATTTTTTAGTATCGTGGTGGAGCTGGGATCGATGGATTTACCTTGAATCGACTGGAGAGATGAGAGATGGCCCCCGTAAGGGTGTTTGTCGCTGGACTGGTCGATTTTCCCAGTTTTGAGAAGGTATTGTCTACTCCCTTCGTCCCATAATGTAAGACGTTCTTTATCACTAGTGTAGTGTCAAAAAACGTCCTACATTGTGGGACGGAGGGAGTAGTTTTTAGTGTTTTCTTTCCTTTCTTTGTTTTCCACCTTTTTTTTCCTTTTTTTCATGCTTTTTATTCCTGGTTTCTTGTTTTTCCATTTTCTTATCTTTTTTTTATTAATTTTCATTTCATTTTTCCCGCATTTTTATTCTGAATATTTATTAAGAGTCATAAACATTTTAAAAAACTACGAACATTTTCTAGAATTCATGAAATTTTTAAAATTCATGGGTATTTTAGAAGTATGTGAACATTTTTAAATTTCCAAACCCGCAAATAATTTTTAATTCATGAACATTTTTAAAATTCATTATTTTGATTCGCAACATCTTTTTAAATATCGTGAACTTCTTTTGATTTAGACCTTCTTCAAATAAAAAATACGATAGCCGATATGTAGCTACCTATAAAAAATGTTGTAGCTAGTGTTGAGTGTTGGCACCGAACAATGGCAGGTTCTTGTGACATCAATGTAGTTACGAAATCAAAATGTAACAATCTCCTAATTTTTCCGTGGCAGCCCTCAACTTTGGTGCAAATAATATTTAAACCGGTTAGCTGATACTTGATACAAATTATATCCTGATTGAAGCTTAACTTGACCCCTGCAAAATTAAAGAAGCTTAACTTGCCGATAAACATTATATTATAAGATCGTGAGAACAAATACCATTTGATAAATCTTTAATTAACTTGTTGCTCCAACCTAAATATTTAATTATAAGATCATGACACACCGTCCCCCGGCTCCACGGTCTGTTCCCGTCGCCGACCCAATGACTGAGGAGGCGCACCATGACGTTCTCCAAGGAGATGTCAACGACCTCGAATGGGCTATCCTTCGGTGAGTCTTCTCCATTCTCGCAACGCTTGACGCAGAGGCGTACATCTGCGTCATGTCAAGCGATACATAGACGCGCCCCAGTTACTTGCTCCCATTTTTCTGTAGGCAAATTTAGATCTCTGTATAAATATTTTTTAAGTGGTTAGATCTCTGTGTACATGCTCTTATCCTCTTTTTTTTTTGAACATGTCAGATTTGGGCCGGCCTCACCCGCTGCTGAGCTGAAGCCCACCAAGTCCGCTAGGGTTTCAGGGGTATAAAATGCGCAAGTGCAGCAGCTCCTTTCACACTCTCCCTCCCAGCAGTTCCATCTCTCCGCCGCCGCTTACCTTCCTTCTTTCTGCTCCTCTGCTCCTCCTACATACATCACCATGGATTGGAAAGACACAATCCAGTGGATCATCTCAACTGGTGTATCATTCCTCGACGCCCTCCGGCTCCAAGACGAGCTGGTTCAACTCCGGACCAGCTTGCCCAGAGCTCGTGCCCTCATGCATCGTGCTGACTGGGGCAGATTCAAAAGCAAGGACCTTTCAGTGCTCTTCTCACAACTCAGGGACACCAGCTGCGATGCGGAGGATCTTCTCCGCGAGTTCGAGTATCAGGAGCTGCGACAAAAGATACACACCGCCGACAGAGGAAAGGCAGGTCAACTCTTGTCATCCTCCGCTAACTTTGCAAGAAACCTATACCGTGGTAGCAAAAGTAAAGTGACTGCAATCCAGGCCAAGGTTGACAAACTTACCACTGAGCTAGAGGGGCTACTCAACCTCTTGGGTCTAAATGTTGAGCCAGTGCAGCTTGGAAAGCAGCTCATGCCAGAGACAAGTTCAATGATCAAGGAGCCCCTAGTGTTTGGACGTGACAGTGAAAGAGATCTAGTGATTGACTTGCTGCATGTGCCACTCACGAATTCCAGCTCGTACTCCTCTGGGAAGACAACAGCAGCTGCTTTTACTTCAAAATCCAGAGCAAAGAAACTGAAAGGTGAGAGTAGCACAACAGGATTGCGCAATCAGACCATAAACACTTATGGAGTTGTTTCTGTTTTGCCAATTGTTGGCATCGGTGGAGTGGGGAAGACCACTCTTGTTCAGCTAGTTTACAATGATACAAGGGTGAAAACCCACTTTGGTTTGAGGATGTGGGTTTGTATTTCTGACGTTTTTGACATTAAGAAGATAATCAAAGATATCATCGAGTGTGCCACTGATGGAGTATGTGATATGTCCCGCAGTTTAAATGTTCTTCAAGGGGAACTAAGGAAAATTCTGATGAAGCAAAAGTTTCTTCTAGTGTTGGATGATATATGGCCAAATGCTATTGATGAATGGCAGACATTTTTTGCACCATTCAGGAATGTACTTGAAGGCAGTGTCATCTTAGTGACTACAAGATTTGCGACTATTGTCAACCTTGCCACAAACACTAGGACCATTGAACTCAAAGGATTGCCTGAAGATACATTTTTGGAGTTCTTCAACATATGTGCATTTGGTACAGATTGTGCAGAATCGTATCCAAAGTTGCAGGTCATTGGTCAGGACGTGGCCTCTCGGTTGTGTGGGTCTCCTTTGGCAGCTAAAACTCTTGGACGCTTGTTGAATATGGAGCTCACAGAACGCCATTGGATAACTGTCCAGAATAGTGAATTGTGGGAGCTGCCACATCAGGACAATGAGATATTGCCAGCCCTTCAACTCAGCTACCTCTACCTTCCACCGGAACTTAAGAGATGCCTTGCACTTTGTTCAATGTTTCCCAAAGGTTATAGATTTGAAAGAGATGAGATAGTTGACATTTGGGTGACACATGGCTTTGTTTTACCGGAAGGAAGCATGCATCCTGAAGAGTTGGGTGTTGCATACTTGGATGATTTGAGAAGCAGATTTCTTCTTCAAACTGATCCTAGGTTCCGTGATCTAAGTAGATATGTAATGCATGACTTGATCCATGCCATGGCACAATCTGTTTCACTAGATGAATGTTTTTTGTTGCAAGATAAGAACTATCCTAATCAGAGGAAAATACCACCCACAGTTCGTCATATGTCAATTGAGGTACACAGTGAAGCTCACAACAGAATGGCAGATATTCACCATTTGGATAAATTGCATTCACTTAGGTTTGGGACTAGATCCAAAGTTAGAATTTCATGGTTAAATAAGCTTTCCAACATCCTCTTTTTGAGTCTAAAAGGCTGCGAGCTGAAAAACTTACCTGAGAGCATTTGTGTCTTGAATCATCTTCGCCACCTTGATATATCTCATAGCAGAATAATTGAGCTACCTGATAGTTTTCGGTGCCTATACAGCCTACAGGTTCTCAATGCTAGTCATTCAAGACTGCGAACAATTCCTGATGGCATAACAACGCTAGTCAACTTGCGTAATCTAGCACTGCCAGGGAATGCCTCACATAATATGTCAACAAAAAGTGGTCTTGGAAATTTGTGCTCTCTGCGGAACTTGAGCTATTTTACGGTTGGAGAAGGTAATGGGAGGAGAATTAGTGAGTTGAAGAACATGAATCAGCTGAGAGAAATGCTATCTATCAAATCTTTTGCTAACGTTCAGAGTATGGAAGAAACTGCCGAGGCTAGAATTGTTGACAAGCAATACCTTAAGGTATTAATTATACATTGGCGACAATGTAGATTCTTCCCGAAGGAACATGAACATGACAATAGCAATACACTCGAAGGCTTGCATCCTCATTCAAGAATTGAACGTCTTGTACTCGAAGGCTTTCGGTTTGATAACTTAGCTCCAAGTTGGTTAACTCCTGAAAACCTACCTTCATTAAGGAATCTAGATCTTTCCCATTGCAGCTTGAAATATTTATCAATGCCACTTGGTTTTCCCATCACTACTCTGCGTCTTTCCTGGTGTTGTGGTCTGAGAAATCTTGATCAGTGCCTGGACCCAGAACATTTGCCATTTGTCAAGTCAATAGAGCTTGATTGGTGTCCAAATCTAGTATCGGTTCCTGTGCACAGTTTTGTGGGTTTTGTTTTCCTTCAAGATCTGAGAATCCACCAGTGCTTCAAGTTGGTGTGCCCTAGGGAAATGGTTTTGCCCCCTGCACTCAGAAGACTTTCTGTTTCCTTTTGCGGTGAGCTTGGCAATTCATTTCCAGATTGCTTAGAGAATCTCAACTTTCTCACCCTTCTGCATTTGGAAGCGTGTCTCACTATAAGGCTCATTCGTTTGAACTCGATCAACACAAACATGCTAAGTTGTCTGGTTCTTCGTCATTGCTCAGAACTGTCATCCATCGAAGGATCTGGCGCTCTTCTGTACATGAAGTATGTTGACATATTGAGCTGCCCTAAGCTCACAGGGATAAGTCAACCATTCAAAAGGAATAAACTGGAGAAAGTAGAGGAGACAGAACTGCTAGAATTTATCAAACCACGCAAGGAATGAACTGCAGAAAGTTGAGGAGACGGAACTGCTAGAATGTATCAAACCACGGAATCATGGAAGAGTTCAAGAGAACAGGTAAACAGATGAACAAACTAACTTAGTAGAAGAATAAATTCTTGCCAAATTCAGTTACATAGTCATTCAGAAAAAATAATCAAATTGCATTCATGTCAGTTGTTACAGCTTTATAGGTTAATAGTGATATATTTATCATCTAGACCTAAGTTCACAGAATTTTCGAGGTGTAGCACTGTTGCCGTGTTAGGGCGATGGCTTAACTTTTTTACTTGGCAACTGATGTGGCATATTAGTGCAATCTATCACACCAATATTTTTTTGTCATTTACTTAATGTATATACTGTATCTTAGTATTAAACCAGCTTATAGATTCTAGTTAATTTGTATGGTTCGCATCGAGAATATGTTTGATGAAGTATATCAACAAGGATTCTTCAATTTTAATGTATGCATGTTTATCCAAAAGTATACCCTGTCCTGCACATGTTCCTTTGAACTTTCTATGTGTGACTAACCGACTAGATGGATGGTTACCTTTCTCAGGAAATAAGATGTTGCAACTAACTGCATTAGTTTCATAGTCCGTCATGCATCAATGTATCAATGCATAGTAGCAAGTGCTAAATTTCTGTGGTCCAGGGCCTTCTCTTTATTTATACCTTCTTTATGTATACACAGGAGTGATGTTCTGTTCAGATCGTAGTGTTCAAGGTCAGTAACATCTCTCTTCTGAATGGCTAAACTGGAATCAACTTATGGCTTTGTTAGAGAAACAAGCTCTGAGCAAAAGGGAGGATGAAATCTCACGGGGTTTATATAAATCTGGGATTCAGACAATGAAGTCCATGAACGACAAATGTGCTCTAGAGGGGGGAAACGATAGGAGGAGAAAGCTCTAGAGAGCTACGTAATCACAGCAGATCAAAGTGTTAAAGGAAGTCTTTTTAAGTGATGGTTCGCTGTCGGGAGCAATTGGTGGGAGTCACAAGTGTGTGATATTTGAAGAGACATGCCGAGCATATCATTATGTCTCGGCTGCTTTTTAACTGGTAAGCTGTAACCCCAGTCTTCCCTGTGTGAACTATGTGTACTTGGTTATTTCTGTTTCCTGTTCAGTTGCATTCTTCTCTACCATGTTTCTGTGGGATTTATACTGATGATAGCACTGTACTTAGGTACTGCGCACTGCATAATGCAATACACATGTAAATTTGTTGTATTTGCAATGCAAATATAGTGCCTTCAAAGTATATATCTGAATAATGTATGACTTTATGAATTGGCTGGCATAAGAAAGTGTAAATCTGTCTTTATGTATTGGATTGATGTGTAAATTTTGGCCTTCCTGATCGTCCATGGATTACCATTTTCCTTCCAAACTTATAATAATATAATTATCTAATCACTAATGTAACACCTGAAAGTTGAAACGCTTGACGGTATCTACACATGAGGCTCAATGTAAGTTAGCTGGTCTCCATGCGCTCTCTGCGCTTGCAGAGTTCCCAACTAGCCAAAATAATTCTTAATTCTTTTTCGAACTATACGTATCTTGTTCAATCGAATTTACAATCTAGGACGTCAGTATAGTTCTAGTAATACCTATTTTAATTTCTTAATACTAGTGTTTTCTTAACTAGAAACTGCAGGAGGGCGCTGATGATAAATTTTATTTGAGAAACAAACATTTACAATGGAATATATACAGAGGAAATGTAGAATTTAGAGGGGGTAGAGGGGACGGAAGCTGAGGGGTGAGACTGCAGTTAAGCTGATGAAGCCATGACTTGAGAGGTGCTGCAAGGTCCTCGTTTCATCCTACAAAAAGCAGGAAGAGATCTGTCACAATACCACTATTGGATTTGATCCTGGTCACACTCACCTTTTTAGAGCCTGGATTTTGTTTTCGCTTGCCATCTGTGGAGCCTTGGCAGGAAGGGGAGCCTTGGCGCAGTGGTAAAGCGCAGTGGTAAAGCTGCTGCCTTGTGACCATGAGGTCATAGGTTCAAGTCCTGGAAACAGCCTCTTACAGAAATGTAGGAAAAGGCTGCGTACTATAGACCCAAAGTGGTCGGACCCTTCCCTGGACCCTGCGCAAGCGGGAGCTACATGCACCAGGTTGCCCTTTTTGCCATCTGTGGAAGTATTAGTGCACTTTTTTGGTGCTTTGTGTCCTTGCTTGGCTAGCCAGTTTATTTTCAATTTCTATTCTGAGTTCATGTTAGATGAACCTTGCCATCAGGGAGTATTCCAAATTATGTACTCCCTCCGTCTGAAAATACTTGTCATCAAAATGGATAAAAAGGGATGTATCTAGAACTAAAATACGTCTAGATACATCTCCTTTTATCTATTTTGATGACAAGTATTTTCGGACGGAGGGAGTATAATTCTAGTTTTGAATTAGAAAAACTGTTCTTTTTAATCGAAGAGTTTACCATGAACAAGACGGTAGTTAAATATAAGTTCAAATAATGCGTCTGTTGTACACATGCTTCTCTTGACTAATCTCTTTAGCTCACACTAGCCACTAGGGTTACTCTAGTCTTGATCGATACTTCCCAATGGAGATACACGTCATGGCTGTCAGAAGCTGCTGCAAGTGAGCTGTTCATTTTCAACCCAGGGTTCAGAGAAGGCGCGTCTAACATGTTCTGAGGAATGACAGGATCATTTTGAAGCACTGTTTATGAACTGTACCTGAATTTCTAAATCTACACTTTGAATCATCTGTCATACTTGGTTCCAGTCCCGATCAGCTTGGTCTTACTATTCTATTTTATTTTCCACTCCAAGTTGGCAGTTTGAAGAATATCTGATCATGTAGCCATTGGCAACGATAGTCATAGCGAGTCACCATAGGCCAAATATCGATAGGTATACTTAGGTCATAGCGAGTCACCACATGCGTAGGTCACAATATCTGATCATGTAGCCATTGACATGCATAGGCCAAAGCTTTTGCATTTTGTACCCTTCAAGTGGGAGGGTGGTACATTATGTAAAAGCAACGAAATGCTTAATGTTTACTGTGTTCCAGTTTGCCTTTTTTACCAATAGGCCCGGGTTTGGTAATATTTTCTACTCTGTGACTGTTGTTAAAAGATTTACTGTTTGCTATCATGCTATTATTCCTTATCTTGGACATACATACATATTTTCCTAGTTGATGCTTACTAGTCGATCCTCACATGTCTAGGTTGGAGCCAGACCAAGGCAAGGCATCACGGCGGGGCAAGTGGCATCCCGCTTTGTCGTGCGAAACTCAACAATTACTACCTCATAATTTGCTTAAAATGAGCAGAATAAGGAGTTCTTTTTCCTGCTTTTTGACTTCTTTTACCGCTGTTGTTGGAGTGACGCGTGTACTGGAGTTCTTGGGCGTTTTTTTGCCTGGTCGCGCGTTTACCGCTTTCAATTTGGTGTGTGGACGTGAAAGTTCTAGCGGATGGCTCCTGTGATATTTTTATCTGCATGTGCGTTTTTCACACTGGATTTGACATGGCGGTTGCGGCTTTGGGGGTTCTGTACGCGATGCCACCTTCAGGGTTGTGCCCTTCAGCGTAACCTCTGCCCCTTCATATTTTCAATCTCTATTCAAACAATATTGAGGACATATCGCATACTATTCAAACAATATTGAGGACATATCACATACTACCAGTTTATGATGCTTAAAACTGTCCTCGCAAACTGGTAGCATGCTTTAAACTTTTTTGCGGGAAAGCTTTTTTTGCGAGGACAGTTTTAAGCATCATAAACTGGTATTATACGATATGTCCTCAATATTGTTTGAATAGAGATTGAAAATATGAAGGGGCAGAGGTTACGCTGAAGGTGGCATCGCTTCTGCCGACTGATGTTACAGGGGAGAGAGGGTTTGGTCGATTGGGTGGGTGGGAATGATAGCGCGGGGAAGAGAGGGTCAAGGCCTCAGCCATGCAACTGAGGAGAAGAGGAGGAGGCTCGAGCGACACCGTTGAGCGAAGCAACTGCTGTATAGGGGGTGGACGAAAGGACGGGGAGAGTACTGATGGTGAGAATATGGTCCACAAGACATGTAAGGAGAGGATGGGGCAAAGGTGCCGATGCATCCTTTCCACAAGAAGTAGCGGAGCCGGGATTGGTTGACGTCCCAGGCGAGAAACTAAGGGCTAAAAACTACCCAAAAAAACACCAGTTTCAAGGCATGCAAAATCAATTTATGTTGCATAACTAATAAGAAACCAAACATAATATTCAATTGCAGCATTTGTTTCATGATGAGTCAACTAATAAAGCAACACAAATCAAAAGACAATATATATGATACAAAAGATTGATACCAAATCAAATGATTGCTTGATCTGAGCATCTCATTACTACATCTTCAATATAAGAAGCAGCTAAACCTTCAATGATTAATTTATAAAAAGCAAATTAGTGCATAATGTAGTAGGTAAAACTAGTTAATAACAGATGCAAAATGCGAAATCTTATGTCTATGACAAGGCAAAATGCCTTTGCGTGTGCGATAACCTTGAAATCGCTCGATGATCTTTGAATCTTCTTTAATACTAATAAATACATCTCAGCTTCCTGTAACAATAGAAACAATGCGAGTCATACTGAATTTCCGAAAGGTTGCAAAATTTATTTCAGTATGTATTGCTCTAATCTAGCAGCAATGCTCTGATGTAGCAGCAAAAAAAAGCTTTGTGGTGGCAAATTGGCAATGTACTAATGAGATCACTACAATTAGTTATGCAGGATAGATCATACCCGGGCTCATACAACAAAAGCAGTGTACTTTCTAGTGCAACCATAATGCAGAAATACTAGTCTGATTAACCACCACACAAGCATCAGAAGTTTGGAACATAGCTCCACCGAACCGAGCTATACATCGAAGAGAACTAGGAAGGGATACCTTTGCTCTTGGTCTGCTGTCTGCTCTGTGCTGCGGCTCGCCGGACGCCGGGCAGCCTGCCTCCTTGCCGGG